TGATTCTCCTGTGTCAGGAGCCTCGGCTTGAGGGCAGGACCCCTACCTCAGTGGTTGGACTAGTAGTGCCACCCTGAGATGTGTGCTTCTTGCTTAGCACCACCCCTTCTCTAGCCTAGGGGATGTGTCAACTTATAGATATGCTGTATGTAGAAGTTATAGGCTAGCCTAGGTGTGTGCTTCTAGTGAGTACAAGCCCAACAGGTACATGTTCTAGGTTTCTCACACTAGTCCATTCATTCTCTCTTGCTAACAGTGCCATGGCGGCACAGGAGCTCCGTTGGGTGACTTTCTTGCTCACAGACTTAGGTGAGCGGCCTACAGTGGCGGAAACTATTGTCCGTTTGTTTTGCATTAATTTGGGTTTTAGGTTTTAAGACCACTATACATTGATCCTTAATGTTTAATGGTGGTATGATTTGGAAGGGACAAATAGTTCGAAGCACAAATATCCAGAATAGTATATTGGATCTAACTCTTATCCCAAAAGATATACAAAGGATACATCCGGACAAATAGTTCCAAGCAGAGAGAGCAAACTTCAAAAGTGTGTTTCTAGCTCCTAGCCTACCGACCTTTGGCCTTGATCACCGCCCACAACCTCCTAGGCGAGCTGTCGATGAGGCTAGAGCAAACCTCGGCATGGATCTTCTCCTATTCTTCCTAGACCAGGTCTTAAAGCTCTAGCATTGTAAAGGAAAGCCTTTTATGCTTGGCTAGCTCCCTTTTCAAGCAAGCCCAGAGGTTAAGGTTTGATGAAAAAGAAGGCCACTCCAAGGCTACATACTCATGTTCTCCAAGTCATTCCTGTAGTAGGCATAACAAATTCTTGGGGTCATTGTCTGCACCGAGATGACCTCAGAGGGGAAAATGCTATAGAAATGGAGGGTCAATTTGAGTTCGTCATGCGAAATGCCCTCATACAGGGGCCTCTCCATGCGTCCGTCAATCTTGCATATGAACCCTACCACCGCATATGTTATACATCCCAAGACCATCACCGATCCTTGTCCCCATGGTTTGCCATCAGTTTGGTTTTGGTGGTACTGCAGGGTTGTGCCTTCCTGAATCCAGGCAAACGCGCGGCCATTAGAGCTGAAGCAATTGATGTTGGTCCCATTTGACCAGATCACATGCTTTCGAACACTAATTGTCCACTCAGCATGCGACTTCACGAATAGCAGCCGGCCCCTGATATTTTTCCAGAAGAGTCATGGCTTCTACGACTGCTGCACCGTGACTAGACCCATGGACCTTAGTGTGTTTTTAATGCTGCAAGGGTGCACAGTCAACCGTGCAACGTTACCCTCAGTTTTGCGGTGTCTACGCTAGATTTGGCCACTCTATTCGTGATTTTACCTTACAATGGTACAACGAAGACCATCCGTGATAAGATGGGTCCGACCGGCTAATTGAATCTTTGGCCACACCTCTGCATGGCTAGTCTCAAAGATACCATTCAATACAAAATCGTCCACAATACTCTTGCCTACGCCCATTTTTTTTTCACGATTTTCCTAGTGCTGACCCCCTTATGCAAAATGATGGGTCCAGGAAGAGTGCAAGAATTTCCTTGCCGAGGTTTGTACTAACTTCGTAGGTAACATGCATTGGGAGGGTGCAGGTGGTGAACAAGGCCAAAGGTCGGTGGGCTATGTACCTAAAACACAGTTATGAAGTTTGCTCTCTCTGCTTGGAAATATTTGTCTGGATGTACCATTTGTTTGTCTTCTTGGATATCAGTTAGACCCAATGTACTATTCTGGATTTTTGTGTTGTTAACACATCCACTATGTACTCCTCCCAAAGCGTACCACCATTAAACATTAAGGCTTAATGTATAGTGGTTTTAAAGCCTAAAACCCAAAAATAATGCAAAATATACGGACAATTGTTTCCGCCACTGTAACTGCCATTTAAGCCATGATAAGTGTCACCTAGGCCATGTAGATTAGCGCGGGTGCCATGCGCGCAGGCACGTTTCGTGCCGGCGCCATGCGCGCTGGCGCATTTCGTGCTGGCGCCGTACGCGCAGGCGCCTTGCGCGCTGGCGCGTTTTGTGGAGGCGCCTTGCACGCTGGCGCCGTGCGCGCTGGCGTGCATCTCGCGATGACGAGGTGTGCGCTGGCGCGGTGCGCGCTGGCGCCGTGCACGCTGGCGCTTTGCGCGCTGATGCATTTCGTGCTGGCGCCATACGCGCAGGCGCCTTGCGCGCTGGCTCGTTTTGCGCTGGCGCATTGCGCGCTGGCGCGCGTCTCGCAATGGCTCGGTACGCGCTGGCGGGGTGCGCGCTGGCACGGTGCGCGCTGGCACGGTGCATGCTGGCGTTGTGCACGCTGGCGCATTTTGTGCTGGCGCCGTACGCGCAGGCGCGTTTTCCGCTGGCGCATTGTGTGCTGGCGCTGTACGCATTGGCACGTTTCGCGCTGGCGCCTCGCGCGCTTACGCCATTCTTTTAGGGTCAACCCCCTTCCATTCCCCCCCGCTTTGTCGTCCCCCCTTTGTTCCTTCCCCCTTGTCGTCCCCCCTCCGTTCCTCCCCCTTTCTTGTCCCCCCTCCGTTCCTCCCCCTTGGTCGTTCCCCCTCTGTTCCTCCCCTTTTGCTGTCCCCCCTCCGTTCCTCCCCCTTGGTCGTCCCCCCTCCGTTCCTCCCCCTTTGTCGTCCCCCTTCCGTTCCTCCCGCTTTGTCGTCCCCCTTCTGTTCCTCCCCCTTTGTTGTCCCCCCTCCGTTCCTCCCCCTCTGTCGTCCCCCTCCGTTCCTCCCCCTTTGTTGTCCCCCCTCCGTTCCTCCCCCTTTGTTGTCCCCCCTCCGTTCCTCCCCCTTTGTTGTCCCCCCTCCGTTCCTCCCCCTTTTCGTCCCCCCTCCGTTCCTCCTGCTTTGTCATCCCCCCTCCATTCCTCCCCCTTTCTGTCCCCCTTCAGTTCCTTCCCCTTTGTCGTTCCCCCTCTGTTCCTCCCCCTTTGTCGTCCCCCCTCCGTTCCTTCTCCCTTTGACTTACCACCTCCGTTCTTCGTCACTTTCTCCCTCATTCCCATTTTCCCCCCTCAGTTTTTCCTACCTCTTTCTTCCCCCCTTCATTCCCCCTTCCGTCCTTACATCCTCTATTCCCCCCCCCCCCCCCCCCCATCTGCTCTCCCCCCCTCTTCCGTTCCATTCTTCCTCACCAACGCTCTCCCCCCTCACATCCTTTACCCCTTGCGTTCTTCTTACCTCATCCCCCTTCTGCTTTATTTCCCTTAACAATCTTTATTCTTACAAGCCCAAATGCAGGCCATTCTCAGGTATACATTACTCTTGCTCTCACTGTTTTTTTGTTCTTCCTCCCTCCATTCTTCCCCTGTCTGTTTGCCCCTGTTCATCACCTCCATACTTTCCCCCTCCATTCTTCTCGCCTCCATTTCCCCCTCAGCTCTTCCTAACCTTTCTTCCTCTACGTTCTTCCACCCTTTGTTCTCCCCTCTCCATTCTTACCCAACCTATTCATTCCTCCCTCTGTGTGACCCTCTCCCTCCCTTTACCGCTCTCCCTTGCTCTTTATTCTCCTTTCTGCATTTGCTTTTCCCTCCACTTGTTTCTACCATGCATTTGCATCTCATTTAAGTGGTTGCTTCTCTCTTGCACTTGCTGCCCCCTTCTCCTTGTCTGCCTTTCTGGCGTTCGTCTCCGTTGTTCCACTCTTCCCCTCTCATCAGTTTTCTTTCTGCCCACCTAATCGCTTTAGTTTCTCTCTGGCTGCTAGTGCCTCAAGCTCCTTCCTCTTATTTTCTCCCCATGCTATCATCTCCAGTCATGTCATCACGTTCAAGGTTGTCACATTCTAAGAACATTCCAAGTCGTCGAAGTTCAAGTCATTACGTTCCAAGTCTTCTCACTCCAAATCCGGTCAATCGTGTTGGCAATAATGATTGATAGATATTTGAAGTTGACTTTTGGTCATGTTTTTGTGCTACCCATCTTCGTGTTTGTCTTGCGTGCATTTGCATTGTTGTTTTGTGTCCTGATTTTTCATGTCGTATTACTTGTGTGTGTCATGGTACCATTGGTTGACTAAGTGCGTATCAGTTTGTTGGCTTGCGTTACACAGTGTTGCGTTGTGTTGTGCTTGCCGGGGAAGGATGCTGACTATGCCTATTGCATCACACAATTTGCGCTTGTCGTTGCCGGTTTGGGAAATTGCTTCCCATTGCGTGCATGTCTATCTCTATTGTAGCACGAAAGCATTGATGCATTTCTTTCTTTGCAATCACTATTGTACTGTTATTTGTTTGTTAGTATGTGTCGTACATTGTTGTGTATTGTGCGTGCGTGCAGGAGAACGAGATGCTGACTATGCCTAGTGCATTATACAATTTGCGATTGTCGTTGCCGGTTTGGGAGTTTTTGCTCATAGCGTCCACGTCAATCTCTATTGTGGCACGAACGTATTGATGCATTTGTCTTGCTGCATTCGCGATCATTTTGTTGTATTGTATTGTTGTCGAGCCAAGTAGTTGTATGTACGGTATGTGTGCTGGTAAGTTGCGCTATGTCTACGTGCTTTGAATATGGTGGTGATGTTGTGGTTCTTATCATTGTCCGCCGTAATTATCGACGGCGAATGATTCAAGCCTCTCTCATCATTCTTAGAAAGCTTAGAAAATCGTTAAAAAACTCGATGTTGCTCTATTATTATGTCGTCGGCATTATCGACCACATAATAATTGGGAAACATAGATTAGACAGAAAGCTCTTTTGAGATGCTAAGTTTCTTATTTTAGGTAAAAGGAATCAACAAACAAACAATACGTAGAGATTCTCTATTGGAGAACGTAAATATTTCGATTATAGATAACCTAGATGGAAAAAATATACGTCATTAGAGTGAACGACGCATTAGACCCGGAAAAATACGTATCTCGGGTTATTAGGTCGATTAAATAGAGTCGTCCGAAATTGGTCCACCGACTGATTGTAGAAGGTTGCTACTAGGCAACCCAAAAACTAGAAGTGTAAGCGTGCGGGCGATCTTGGAGACGTTGTGATAAGCCCAACCACATAACACAGACGATATCCCGATCACTCGCACACTCTCGTCGGGCTTGGCGTGCAGTGGCTTGCTTCGGCTACTTTTCCCTAGCCTAAAGTGGCGCAAGTTCTTCTCGCGTGTCTCGCGTAGCGCTAGTCACTGGTTCCGTTGCGTTGCGTGTCTCACCATTGTAGCATTTAGGTCACCTGCAGCAGCTGCCGGGCGCATCTGACAACCCACCTTATCCTCGGCTCCTGATCTCCCGCCAAGAATAGTCTCCCTCGGCCTACTATCGCATCGTTCGGTGCCGACGGCGGCTCTTGACGATTTTTCGTGCCATTCTTGACGGCTTTTCGTTCCATCCTTGACGACTTTCGTGCCATTCCTGACGACGTTCTGCCAGTTCGCGTCGGCGTTCTCCTTCCGCCATACGTCAACGACTCGTGTCCAGCAGCCTGGCGGCGTCATGGCTTCGAAGCGTCCCCCGGAGCCTGAAAGCGCGCCGAGCCTGTCGTCCATGGAGAATCTGCAGCGCGTGGAACAGGTAACGAGCTTTGAGAACCCCCTAAGGGCGTGGCGCCATAGCTCTAGAACGGTGCTGCGTTCGAACGGAGGTGAGGGGTACAGTGGTTCTAATAACGGTTCTGATATATTGCAGTTAGATAATCGCGTGGTACAGTGTGGTGGAACTGCGTTCGAGAGCTAAGGTACCACACCATAAGCTATCAGGTGTGCCGGCAACGTTTTCACTCGTCCAGTCTCTATTCGCCTGGCTCATTGTCCATGCCTTTGACATCTCTGCTCTCTCTCTGCTCCCGTTGATTTCTGAGTCGACTAAAAAATCGCCTGGCTCATTGTCCATCCTTTGCCGTCTGTGCACTCTCTGCTCCCGTTTCTCTTTCCTCATCTTTTTCTTTCCATGTTAGAAGTCCTTGTTCTCCTGCTCCATTTCCAATGCTCTGGCGGCTCCGATGTCCCTCCTCCCATGTCACTCCATGTCTCTCTTATTGTTTCGTAGGATTGGCCACACCTTTAATTGAGCAGGCAGCGGCATCCATGCTCTCACTCTTTTCCGTTCTTGAGAATTCTCAAAAACACTATTTTCCGTTCCTGCATTTAACTTCCACTCTCTGTTTCCCCGCGGCCCCTGATCCGCCCCAGAGAATAATCGACACTGTCAAATGCGCATGCAACGTCATCCTTGTTCTCACTCACTCGTATCCCTCCCCGCATCTCCCTTCCACTCTCTCGCTCCCCCTCCTCGGATCCGTTCCAGAGAATAATCGACGCTGTCAAATGCGCAGGCAATGTCATGCAGCTGCTCGGCCAATCAGGGCGCTCCGCACCAGTAGGAGGTGGAGGTCCTGGCCGTGGCCACCTACCAGGGCACCTTCCTGGAAGCCTCGCTGGAGGGGGGGGGTGGGAGGGGCAAGCAGAAAGCCAGAGGTGGTGGCTGGGATGTGCCAGGAGTTTATGACAGCCATGCGGGTAAGTGTGCTGGCTGCTAGTGTATCACTCTGTACAATGTCATTGGAGAACAGAGTTGATTGCCGTGGCTAAGGGCAAGCTCAAATCCAGGGTGGTGGCTGGTATGTGCCAGGAGTTCATGGTGGCGATGCGACGCGGGTGAGTGCGCTGGCTGATAACGAATCACTCTGTACAATGTCATTGGAGAACAGGGTTGATTGCCGTGGTTAAGGGCAAGCAGAAAGCCAGGGTGGTGGCTGGGATGTGCCAGGAGTTCATGGTGGATGCGCGTAAGTGTGCTGGCTGGTAATGAATCACTTTGCATAGTGTTATCGGGCAATAAATTTGGCTGCATTCTTCAATTGCATTCACCAAAGGGGAGCAGAAAACCGGAGGCAGTGGCTCGGATATGCCAGGAGTTCATGATGGCTATGACATGAGGATGAGTGCGTCAACTACTCGATCTTCCCCTTAAGGAAATTTCAGGACCCAGATCTGCTTCGTATGGTTGGTCACAGGTAGTCTCTTACTTTCTCTCCTCTTTCCCCCCTCTTTTGTTATGTGCGATGATTGATTATGTTTGTGCAGGATGTCCAGGTGACCCTGCGCAATGAGATCCGCATCATGTGTGAGTACCGGTCCTACGAGAACAGTGACTATATGGAGCGCCTGCTAGCCGAGCTCAGTGCCGAGAAGCTGGACTGCTTGGGAAATCGCATTCAGCACCTTCAGCAGATCTTGGGTAATGATGGCGACGATGAAAATGATGATGACGACGAGGATGGCAATGATGGTGATGATGATGGTGGTGTTGCTGGGGGCAAAGAGGGTGTTGATGACGGTGATAGCACAAGGCGCGGCGTTCACGATGGCACAAAAAATGGGAATAAAATTAGTGGAGAGGATGGAGTGCATGGCTCTTTGAATGGCGGTGAGGGGCCGGAGGAGGTGGGTGTTGGTGGAGAGCTGAATGATAGTCCCCCGACAAAATCGGGGGAACAAATTGAGGACGATATTGGTTTGCCTTCGATGTTCCTGTCCATGCTCCCTGTAGCCAGAGAAGATTCACCATCGTAATTTCAATGTTAAAGTTGGTGATTTTTTCTATTATGTTTGGCAAGTTTAGGAGGGTTCCGTTGATGTTGTCATTGGTTGCCAACGTACCTACAACCACGATACGGAAAGGACTCTGTATCGCGTATCTTTCATTGGGGTGCTACAAGTAATGCAGGCTCGAGTTCGCATGGCCTCCGCTTCGCACTCTCAGGGAGGCTTAGAACGGTTCAGTAAGTTTTGAGCAAGGTTTAGTGTGGTGAAGTGCGCAATAGTCTCCAACGTGGTCCAGTGCGCACTTGCACCATTCCTGACCCCTCAAGCCTCAATGTTGAGTCAACTGAGAGTGTCGGATACGCTTTTTCGCTCCTGCGAGTCGGGGCAGCGAACCCTAATCACAGTCTCGCCACTGCGCTTGTTCAAATTACTCCGTCCTTGTGTTTGCAAGAATTGTCTACTAGCCCAGCCATGGAGGACGAGGAGGCAGCGGAAATTGCGCAGCTGCGTCAGCAGCGGTCGCGCCTCAAGGAGCGCCTTCAGAATCGCAAGAAAGCCACCGCGTCGCTCGTAAACGACCTGCTGACGCCCGCTCCCGCTGCTGGCGCAGGCGCGGGTATAAGGCCCGGCGCAAGCGGCGGAGCTTCCGCTGCGCGCCGTTCGCCGTCGGTTGACGAAATCCCGCCTGGAGCGCCCGCGACCACCGGCGCGCAAGCGGCGGCGGCGGCGACGGGGTTGACTGACAGTGGGAATGGCGGCGGCGGAGGCGGGGGGAGATCAGACGTGTCAGGCAGCGAGGGCCGCGACGACGGGGGCGACTCGAACGTCAGCTCGGGCGCCGCGGGAACAACCGAGGCGGCGGCAGCTGGCGTTTTCGGCGGCGGCGGCGGCGGCGGGAGCGGGCCGGTAACGAAACGGCCGCGGAAAAAAGGGTCCCTTCAGAACATTCTAGAAGGTCTAGAAGACGAGAAAGCGGGGCGCGGCGGGCTTAGCGGTGGCGGCGGTGGTGGGGGGGGGAAGCCTAGTGGTATAGTATCCAGAGGAGCGCCCTCACGAACGGAGAGTCCTAATCTTTACGCGGGCCAGCAGACCCCCACGCCTCCGCCAATCACGGACGCTTTCCCCCGCGAGGAAGACATAGTGGACGAGTCACGCCGGCCGCTGACGTCACTCGAGCGCGTGGAGCGGCTCGTGGCTGCCGTCCTGCTGGCGGCCGGCACGGCCGTGCCTTTGGACTCTAGCGCGATCCATAGGCGATTGAGGAAGGAGTTAAACCCCGAAAGTGTGGACCAAGCCGCGATTCTAGAGGTTGGGGGGGAGGATGGGCCTATAGGCGCACTGGAAACGGCGCTTAGAGTTCTTGCGGGGATGACTGTAGGGGGGGGCGCGGAAGGGGGAGGCGGAGGGGGGAAGGCGGGAGGGAAGCGGAGCTGGAAAGGGGGGGTTGGGGGGAGCGTGAGCGGAGCACCGCTGGTAGAAATAGAGGAGTTCTCAGTGGCGGGATTGGCTAGACTGATGGTTCTAGGGTTTGACAGGCTGGCGCTTTCCAGGATGTTTCCTGGGGCGACTATTCCCTCTGCCGAAGCTTCCCGGAAACAGCAGGAGAGGGAGGAGGAGGAGGAGGTGGGTTTGCTGCTAGGCAGGAGGGGAAGGGGCGGTTTTGGGCGGGAAAACAGGAGGTTTGGGGCGGAAAACCGGGGCTTCGGGGCGGGAAGGGGGGGGATGGGGGAAGGGGGCAGAGAGTGTAGGGACGTTGGGGATAGGGAAGGACCCACGCAATTTCCGCCAAGCATGGCTCAGCATGGGTTCGAGCCCACAGGGACGATGGGTGGGGTAAATTACCCTGGAGGAGGCAGGGGGTATTTCCCTGGTGGGGGTGGGCCAGGAGGGGGTATGGGGGGGAATTTCCCCCCTGGGGTTGGACCGGGGCCGATGGGCATGCATGGGGGGGGAGGGCAGGGGATGGGGGGGATGGGGGGAATGGGGGGGAGGCCCTCCTATGGGCAAGGGGGAATGGGCGGAGGGTTCGGACCTGGAGGGGGAGGGGGGAGAGGGGGAATGATGCCTTATAACGAAGGCATGGGTATGGGCATGGGCATGGGCATGGGGGGCATGGGTATGGGTATGGGTATGGGTATGGGTATGGGTATGGGGGTGGATCCAAGAATGCAAGGGCTCCCCCCTCCCTTCCGCCCCCACCCAAGTCTCCCCCCTCCCCACACATTGGGCATGGACGGAGGGGGAAGAGGCGGGGGGGGGGGGGGCGGACGAGGGGGACAGGAAGCGGGGGGGAGATGGGGGAGGGGGAAGGCGGCAGAAGCGGGGGAGGGCAGAGGGGGTGGGGGGGAAGAAATAGGAGGAGAAGGGGAGAAGGGGAGAGGGGGGCGTGGGGGAGAAGGGATGGGATCTGGAGGGCAAGCAGGGGAGGGAGGGGGGGAGAAGAAGGGGGGAGATGGGGAGGAGGAGGAGGAGGAGGGGGAAGAAGAAATGAGGCTGGAGGAGATTTTATCAAAGAAGTCGTTCAAAGAGATGCAGCAGTCGAAGAGGGGGGAGGAGCTGCTAGAGCTTTTACAGAAGCCCACTGCCAAGGAGACGGCCGTTGCTGCACGGGTGAGTATTGACCGACCGCAGTTTGGGCTTGAGGTTTGAGAGGGCTTGGGTTGTATGAATCGTTCAAGGAAATGCAGCAGTCCAAGAAGGGGGAGGAGCTGCTAGAGCTTTTACAGAAGCCCGCTGCCAAGGAGACGGCCGTTGCTGCAAGGGTGAGTGTTGACTGAAGTTTAGGGTTCGGTTTTAGGGTACAAGGAATCACAGCAGTCCAAGAGGGGGGAGGAGCTGCTAGAGCTGTTGCAGAAGCCCACTGCCAAGGAGACGGCCGTTGCTGCAAAGGTGAGTGCTGACCAAAGCTTAGGGTTTCGAGTATATGAATCGCCAAGGAAATGCAGCAGTCGAAGAGGGGGGAGAGCTGCTAGAGCTACTGCAGAGGCCCACTGCCAACCAAGGAGACGGCCGTTGCTGCGCGAGTAAGCCTGGACTGAGGCTATAGGGTTTAGGGTTTAGGGTTTCCATCAACCAACGCGTTTCTCTCACCATGTCATGCCAACGCGTTTCTCTCACCATGTCATGACCTCTTTCTCTTGATATACCCCGACCCTTCGCCCTTTTGGTAAACCCCCTCCCTAACCCCCTCCCTAACCCCCTCCGTCCTGAGACATCTCAAAAACGAATTTCCTCTCTTTCTTCTCCTGACCCCCCAACCCCCGCCCCTCCCTCCCCAGTTCAAGACCAAGGGCGGGTCCATGGTGCGGGAATATTGCAACCGGCTCACGAAAGACGACTGTCGCCGACACCGCAACTCGTACACTGCTTGTGACAAGGTGGACTGGGTTGTATGGGATGGTGTGCAGACAAAATTCTTTCCCCTAACTTCCTGTTTGATGCACTTTCCTCTGCTCTCCATTTGAGGCGCCTCAAAACTAGACTTCTATCGAAACTTGAGGCGGTTTTGAGGCGCCTCAAAACTGTTTGATACACTTTCCTCTGCTCTCCATTCGCCCATGTCCGCCCTCCTTCCATTCGCCCATGTCCGCCCTCCTTCCATTCGCCCATGTCCGCCCTCCTTCCATTCGCCCATGTCCGCCCTCCTTCCATTCGTCCATGTCCGCCCTCCTTCCCTTCGTCCCTGTCCGCCCTCCTTCCCTTCCCTGGCCCCATGCACCCGGGTGCTTCTTTCCATCGCCGTTTTCACTCTCTCCCTTGATGTGCTCACACACTCTCTCCCTTGATGTGTTCCCCTCTTTCTTTCTACCCTCTCCCTCCCCTCTCCCCCTCTTTCCTCTCCCCTCTCCCCTCGCCCCTCGCTCCTCTCCCCTTTCTCTTCTTTCAACGAACCCAGCTGCACTTTCGCCGCACCATATCGCCCCGCACCGACATGAATCTGTGTTCCGCTCCCCTCTTTCTCCCCTCTCCCCTCTTTCTACCCTCTCCCCACTCTTACTTGTGTTCCTGCAACAATCCCCAGGTGCACTTTCACCGCATCATATCGCCCCGCACCAACATGAATCTTGCGCACCCTCCTCCCTCCCCCTCTCCCAATGCCTACCCACTCCCCCCAATGCCCCGCAGGTGCACTTTAGGCGCATCATATCGCCGCACACTGATATGAACCTGGGTGATTGCTCTTTCCTCGACACATGTAGACACATGAAGGTACAATACAAAGAGCCTGCCTGCCCATTTACCTTCCAATCCACACTCTGGCGCCTCCAATCCAGGCTCTTCCAGCTCCCATCACGTAGTTCTCCTCTTTACTTGCACAAGCGGCGCTTCACCCTTTTGAGGCGCCTCTAGAGTAGTTTGCCTTCTCCCCTATGGTCAGCTTTTGAGGCGCCTCTACAGCAGTTTGCCTTATCCCCTATGGTCAGCTTTTGAGGCGCCTCTACAGCAGTTTGCCTTCTCCCCTATGGTCAGCTTTTGAGGCGCCTCAAAAGCAGTTTGCCTTATCTCCTTTGGTCATTACTGCGATGCAGACATGCAAGTATATGAACTGCGAGCTCCACCACTGTACCCCAAACCCACTTCATAAATCGCCTCTCCCTTCCCTTGGTGATTTTTGAGTGGACTCAAAAGGTGGTGTTTGAGTGGACTCACAAATCACCTACAGACCCCCCTACTGTACCTTAAACCCTCTTCATAAGCCCCCCCCCCCCCCCCCCCCCTCCCATTCCCACACTCCTCTCCCCACTCCCCACTCCCCACTCCCCCCCATCCCGCATCCCACCACATGGCAGACGTGCAAGTACGTACACTATGAGCTCGACCCAGTGCCAGACGGAGCCCCCTATGGAGCCATGGTACCAGCAGGCGGGCCGTTCCCCCCTGCTGCTGCTGCTGCCATGGGCATGTATGGTCCGCATGGTGGCCCGCTGGGGCCGCATGGACCTCTGGGACATGCGCCTGGCATGCCCCCTGTGGTGCAGATCAACTCGTTCGGGCAGTACATCCCCTCCACCATTCCACGGCCATTTGACCGCCCTCCCAGGCCGGAGTATTGCTCCCAGGTAGGTAATGAGAGTGTGGTATATGCATTGGCCGCCCGGCATGCCTCCCATGGCGCAGATCAACTCGTTCGGTCAATACATCCCTTCGGGTATTCCGCGTCCGTTCGACCGGCCTCCCAGGTCAGAATACTGCTCCCAGATAATTTAGTTTTGAGGCGCCTCAAAACTAAATTGTCCGTTCGACCGGCCTCCCAGGTCAGAATACTGCTAGATAAGGGGAAGTTGGCAAAGGTATGCTCCTGGCATGCCCCCCATGGTGCAGACCAGCTCGTCCGTGCAGTACGTACGTTCCTTCCACCTCGTTCCACCTTGGCCCCTGGCCGTTCGATCGGCCTCCTGGGCCGGAGTACTGCTCCAAGTAAGCAGGTGTGGTGCACTGTTCATGGGCATGAATATAGTAAGCAGGTGTGGTGCACTGTTCACGGGCATGAATATGGGCATCGGTGCATGTGGGCATCGGTGAATATGGGCATCGGTGAATATAGGCATCGGTGAATATGTGCATGGGTGAGTATGGGCATGGGTGCATGCGCCGTGGGACATCCACATCCTCGATCATGTCCATGTCAACTTGTCTCTCTCTATCTCTGTCTCTAATTTTGCAGGTCGAGCTAGGCGAGGCCCAGTGGGTGAATTGTGACATCCGCAACTTCCGCACGGACATTCTGGGCCAGTTTGGGGTGATCATGGCGGACCCCCCATGGGACATCCACATGGAGCTGCCCTACGGCACCATGGCGGATGATGAGATGCGCACCCTGAACGTGCCAGTGAGTGTTGCCTTGGGATGTTCACCCTAGGGTACTACGAGGGTGTCCGTGACCCCCCGTGGGACATACACATGGAGCTGCCCTATGGCACCATGGCGGATGATGAGATGCGCACCCTGAACGTGCCGGTGAGTGCCTTTATCACACACTTCGAATCCCTTGAAGCGAAGGTGTTGTGTGACATTGTAACGAGGTGACTTTTGAGTCTACTCAAAAGTCACTTTATCACACACTTCAATACCCTGCTTACGCCCCTGATGCCCCACCCGCATGGGACATACACATGGAGCTGCCCTGCAGCACCATGGCGGATGATGAGATGCGCACTGTGAACGTGCCGGTGAGTGTTGCCTTGGGGTGTTCACCCTGGGGTACTATGAGGGTGTCCGTGACCCTCCATGGGACATCCACATGGAGCAGCCCTACATACAGCACCATGGCTGACGATGAGATGCGTACCGTGAATGTGCCGGTGAGTGTGTCTGCTTGGAATCTTTTACACCTCTCAATTCACATGCGAGTGGTCTTCTGAAATGTTTTAGAGCCCCGATTTGGACCCCTCATGCCCTGATTTGGCCCCCCCATGCCCCGTTTCGGCCCCCCGTGGGACATCCACATGGAGCTGCCCAACGGCTCCATGGTGGATGATGAGATGCGCACCGTGAATGTGCCGGTGGTGATGCAACACAGCCCCACAGTGTCCATGTGAGTGTGTTTGGGTCAACCCTCACGATGCATGTGAGTGCCTCAGAGGCATTTTGAAGCTCCTAAATGCCCCCACGGCTCCCTGTGGGGGCATCCACATGGAGCTTCTTGAACGGCACCATGGCTGATGATGACATGTGCACTCTTAACGTGCTGGTGAGTGGCTCCATTGAATGCATTGCATGCATTGCATGCAGTGAATGCTATTATTCTGCCTGGAAGTGGCCTCATGACACTCTTTACAACCCTGAATGAGCTCCCATGCCATGCCCCCCCCCGTGGGACATCCACATGGAGCTGCCCTACGGCACCAAGGCTGACGATGAGATGCGCACCCAGAATGTGCCTGTGATTGAGTTTCAATGACTTCCTTTGGGTGGCTCCTTGCGTTCTTTCTACTTCCAGCATCCCTTGGCTTTCAAACATCTCCTCTTATTTCTGCTGACATTATCCCTCTCACTTCCCACTCAGGGGCTGCAAAACGATGGCCTCATTTTCCAGTGGGTGACTCCCTTGCTTCTCTCTCCTCCCGCCATCCCTTTTATAATCGCTCTTGCCCTCTTCCCTCTCTTTACATGCGTTCGACATCTTTCATCTCCATCTGCCAGGGGCTGCAAACGGACGGCCTCATTTTCCTCTGGGTGACAGGACGTGCCATGGAGCTAGGGAGGGAGTGGTGAGTGTGGCAATTGTGTGGTGAGTGCCGTGATAATAAGTGCCGTAGAAAGTGGTGAGTGTAAGTAAGTTAGTGAGCATGACAATTGTCAATATTCATGAAGTAGCTCCAAGTAACCCTAGAGCTATTGTTCGTCGCACTTGCTTCTCCGTTTCCTGAAGTGTGCTCAACATCTGGATATGCAGTGAAGGTCGTTGGAGTTGGCGGAGCCGCGGCCAGAACACCTGAAGGGAGGACTGGCTGTGTGGCACGTTGCACAGATTTTCTTCATGAAAATTTCACAACTGCTTCCTTTTTTTTTTTTTTTTTTTTTTTAAAGCTATGGGGCTATCGACGTGCTGGGAGACAACTTGGGGGAATACCAGAGATATGTTGAGCAGTCAGTGGTCAAAATGCAGCTGGCATTTTGAGATATATTCACGTGTTGAACAGATGGCTTGTACAAGCTAGTGGTTTGAAAGTTGTCTTCGAATTTTTGAGGCGCCTAAAAAATAGACTCTTTTGAGGCGCCTCGAAAGTTGTCCTCGAATCAACACATCTAAGGTCAGATACCAAGCTTGTAGTCAGTACCAAGCTTCATCTGATCTGAAGCACCGGATTGCTTTTACCAACTGGAGCATTAGTACCAATCTGGGTCACGAAACCAAATTAAAAGTTATATACCAAAGCCAGATTTACGTGTTTGATCTATGATCGGTAACAGCTTGGGTATGGAGATTTTTGTTTCCATCATGTTAAACCACACACACTTATCATTTCTAAAACCAGCACCATGTTAACGTCTAATCACTGTGGGATCATCGGTGCAAGGAGGAGATAGTTTGGGTGAAGATCAATCAGCTGCAACACGCCATTTGCACGCACGGGACGCACATCATTTTAACCCCCGGTGTTTCAAACTCTCTATCCATCCAACCCCTGATGTGTTTTTGAGGCGACTCAAAACCCCGATTCACCCCCAAAGACAAACCATACACCCACATGACGAGTCTTTCTGTGGCTGTGAATCCATTTGCAGCGGCTCGTTCGCACGACAAGGCGGACTGGCCAGGCCATTGGCTGGACCCCTGATTTCCATGCCCTGTTTCCCCCTGGTTTACAGCCTTGAGCTTTGGGGCTATCGGCGAGTCGAAGAGATCATCTGGGTGAAGACGAACCAGCTGCAGCGGATCATTCGCACGGGGCGCACAGGGCACTGGCTGAACCACAGCAAGGAGCACTGCCTGGTGGGCATCAAGGGCGCGCCGCTGGTCAACCGCAACATCGACACGGACGTGATCGTGGCTGAAGTCCGGGAGACCAGCAGAAAGCCGGATGAGGTGAGAGGCAATGGTGCAGGAATAGAGAAATTGTGGTAGGTAACATTAGGACTGATGTGATCATGGCAGAAATCCAGGGGACCAGCAGAAAGCCAGATGAGGTGAGAGGGGAGTGTGTACAGGTTGTCGCACGGGGTTAGATGTAATCAATATTCAATGTCGACGTTTCTCTCCCCTCCCCCCTCCTTCCCTGACCCTCCTACACTTTCAAGGACTAGGATGACCTGTGGCATCTGGTCTTTGTCATCCTGCCATGGTCATCCACCCCGTGTTTTAGCGATTCCGTTTTTGAGACGTCTCTAAACGAAATTACTAACCCAAGGACAAGGATGACCTGTATCATCCATCCCTCAACCACCCCCCTCCTCTCCTACCCCCACCCCCCCCCCCCCCCGCCCTCTCCCCTCCCCCCATCCCCCCCGCCCCATCAGATGTACAGATGTGCTCCATGCTGGAGCGCATCAGCCCGCAGACAATGAAGCTGGAGCTCACTTGACTTTTGAGTCGACTCAAAAGCAGTCTCTCCAACATGTCTTGCATGTGTGCTGTCCCCTGTGCCCCCCCCCCCCCCCCTCCTTCCCCCCCGCCCTCCCTTCTCCCCTCCCCCTTTCTGTCAGATGTACTCCATGCTGGAGCGCATCAGCCCGCGGACACGGAAGCTGGAGCTATTTGCTCGCATGCACAACACACATGCAGGGTGAGTGAAAGTTTGAGTGAGATGGTTATGACAGCATAGTGTGTGCATTGCATGCGGGGTCAAGATTCCGCACGCACAAACAAACGCGTGCATGATGCGTATACCATGATGCATATACCATGATGCACGTACCACGATGCATATACCATGATGCATACACCATGATGCATATACCATGATGCATATACCGTGATGCATGACTCATCGTCCGCCAGTAGTTCTTTCGGAATCGTTCTCTCTGTGTCAGTAATGCATGTCAGTACTGCATATGTCAGTTATGCATATGTCAATAATGCATATGTCAATAATGCATATGTCAATAATGCATATGTCAGTAATGCATATGTCAGTCATGCATATGTCAGTACTGCATGTGTCAGTAATGCACATGCGAGTAATGCATATGCCAGTAATGCATATTGTTTTCACTTTCATCCAACTCTCCTCCCCTCCTTTCTCACCCTCGTCTCTCCCCTGACCCCAGTCCTTCCCCCACCCCACCTCCTCACCCCTTCCCCCCCCTTTTTGAACCCATCCATGCACGATTTTTCCCCAAGGTGGATATCCCTGGGCAACCAGCCAACGGCACTTGACTAATGGATGCTGCACCCCTATCGTGCTTGCCTTGTTCTCCCCTTCTTGTTACAGTCACTCTCCCTTCACCCTCCATTGACCCCCACGGCAGCTGGAGATCTCTGGGCAACCAGCTGGACGGCACGCGACTAGAGCATGCTGACCTGTTCTCATGTGCTCCGCTCTCTCCCTCCTCTCTCAACCTTGATTTTGCAGGGTGTTTTTGAGAATTCTCAAAAACACCCTGAAAAAGCATGCTGACCTGTTCTCATGTGCTCTGCTCTCTCCCTCCTCTCTCAACCCCGACACGCCTCCCGCCAGCTGGATATCTCTGGGCAACCAGCTGGACGGCACGCGACTAGTGGACGCTGACCTGCGCAAGAGGTTCCAGGAGGTGAGCAAGGGAAGGCGAGGTTTGGAGGTCTGTAGGTGTGAGATGTGGATTGAAGGAGAGGCGAGGTTCGGCGAGGTTCGGAGGTGTGAGGCGCGGTTTGAAGTGGTTAAGTGCGATTCGCTAGTTCCTCTTCCTGTCCATCGCTCTTCTGTCCATTCCGCTCCTTCCCCCTCCTCCTCGTATTATCTTGAATCTTCCCCCGAGTAATTGATTTCTAAGTCGACTGGAAAGTTGAAAACCACCTCTTCGCCCATCCACTTCTCCTCCCAATAATCCAACATGACATCACAACATGACAACATCACAACATGACGACATCACAACATCACAACATCACAACATGACAACATGACAACATGACAACATGACGACATGACGACCTGACGACGTGGCGACGTGACGACGTGACGACGTGGCGACGTGGCGACATGACGACGTGACGACGTGACGACGTGGCGATGTGACGACGTGGCGACATGACGACGTGACGACGTGACGACATGACGACATGACGGCGTGATGACGTGACGACGTGACAACATGACAACATGACGACATGACATGACCTCTTTCTAATCGATTTTTCTTACCCCCCCTCGCCCCCTCCGGCTCCCTCTTCCCCTGCCCCTTACTCTCCTCTATTAAGCATATTCAGGAGCAGGTGTACCCGTATTTTAAAATCCAACCACCTGGCCCTCGTGCTGACAATGTCCCTCTCTCCCCCCCCCCCTCCCCCTCCCGCTCCCACCCCTCTCCCTTGTTTCCGACCCCTTGTGCAACAGGCAGTACTGGTATACCCGGACATTGAGATTCAACCGCCTGACCCATCTGCTGAGGATGCCACTCTCCCTCACCCCTCGCTCCCCCCTCGCTCCCCCCTCGCTCCCCTCTCGCTCCCCCCTCGATCCCCCCTCGCTCCCCCCTCGCTCCCCCCTCGCTCCCCCCTCGCTCCCCCCTCGCTCCCCCCTCGCTCCCCCCTCGCTCCCCCCTCGCTCCCCCCTCGCTCCCCCCTCGCTCCCCCCTCGCTCCCCCCTCGCTCCCCCTCGCTCCCCCTCGCTCCCCCCTCGCTCCCCCTCGCTCCCCCCTCGCTCCCCCCTCGCTCCCCCCTCGCTCCCCCCTCGCTCCCCCTCGCTCCCCCCTCCCTCCCCCCTCGCTCCCCCCTCGCTCCCCCCTCCCTCCCCCCTCCCTCCCCCCTCGCTTCCAGTCCCACTCCCGCCCCCCTCTCCCTCTCTCCTTCCCCAATCCGGACCCATTCTGGAGCAGGTATACCCAGACATTAAGATTCAACCGCCTGACGCACTTGCCACTCTCCCTCCCCCCTCGCTCCCCCCTCGCTCCCAGTCCCACTCCCGCCCCCCTCTCCCTCTCTCCTTGCCGAATCCGAACCCATTGTGGAGCAGGTGTACCCGGACATTGAGATTCAACCGCCTGACCCGCCTGCTGAGGATATTACTGCTGCTGGCCACGCAAAGCCACCTCAAGCATAACTCTGAGCTGCTAACTAGTGTAAACGCAAAAGTTTAATTGTACATGTTCAGGAAGTGTATTGCATTTGACGTTGCAAGATGTGCTTATAGCAAGCCTTATGCAAACAAATGGTGGGAATTCGCTTCCAGTTATTGAGTCAACCACTGTGCAGTCAGAGAAGAGAGATAACACGAGTGATTCGGCACCGTTTAAAGCCAGGGATCCAAGTTTCTGGAACCTGTGGCAAGTGTTTTACAGTTGGTTTGGAAAACCCAGGTTTTGTGTCGCGAGGGTGCGTGAATTGCAACACTCGCAGGCGATTTCACTGGTGCCTACAGCTCGCCGGCCAATCAGAAGTTTTAGTCCCAACCAACTGTTTTACAGTTGGTAAACTTGGGTCCCTGGCTTTAAACAGCGAGCAATTTTCATGAAGTCCAAAGGCATCTGACCATTGTACGGTACGGTACCAGCAAATTCGAGGCAGTTCAAAGTGATCACTGCAGTCATCAGTGATCCAATTCTAGGCTATAACAGTGACTGTTCGGGGGACCTGACCCCTACATCTCGACCGATATCAAGTCAATCCCCATCCCCTTCTATGCCCCCCCTCAGCTCAGCGCTTCATCCCCTCCTCCACGCTTCATCCCCTCCTCCACGCTTCATCCCCTCCTCCGCGCTTCATCCCCTCCTCCACGCTTCACCCCCTCAGCTCACCACAATGTCTTCTTCAGTCACCACTGGGCCATTCGGGGGACTGAGCCCCTCCATTTTCACCGATACTGACTCGATCCTCTCACGCTGATCCGCCTCCTCCCTCACATCCCCCCAACACCGCTTCACCCTCTAACTCCCCCCTTTCCCTCTGCTTCCAGTCACCACTGGCACATGCACTGCCTCTTGCAGACGCCATTCGGGGGACTGAGCCCCGCCATTTTCACCAATATCGACACAATCCGCTCCCTCAGCTCCGTCTCCTCCCCCACATCCCCCCAACACCGCTTCACCCTCTAATTCCCTGGTCTCCCTCTGCTCCCAGTCACCATTGGCACACGCGTTGCCTTTTAAAGTCACCATTCGGGGGACTGAGCCCCGCCATCTTCACCGATATCGACTCGATCCTCTCCCTCTGCTCCGTCTCCTCCCTCACATTCCGCCAACACCGCTTCACCCTCTCTCCCCCTCCTCCCTGACCTAAAACCCCCACTCCTTGCCCTAGGGCCCCCACTGCCTGCCCTAGAACCCCCACTGGCTGACCTAAAGCCCCTC